AACCCGGTATGTTGTATTATTACCCCGTGATTGCTAACTTTGGTACGTTGTATTTGTACCCCTGTTAATGCAAACCCGGTATGATGTATTATTACCCCGTGATTGCTAACCCTGGCACGTTGTATTTGTACCCCTGTTAATGCAAACCCGGTATGATGTATTATTACCCTGTGATTGCTAACCCTGGTACGTTGTATTTGTAACCCTGTTAATGCAAACCCGGTATGATGTATTATTACCCCGTGATTGCTAACCCTGGCACGTTGTATTTGTACCCCTGTTAATGCAAACCCGATATGATGTATTATTACTTCTTTAATATATTATCCATATACTAAAAGTATTATACGTATCCTGGTGTAGATAAATGAATTGTTAGTATTTTCCTTTCCTAATACACTCGGAATGAAAAGTATACAATCGTGAATCTTACTTGTATATTTAGTTTTGAATCATAAATTATACCTATTATAATTTATACGTTCTATCTGATTAGCATGATCTCTCCTTAATGTACCCCTTTGCTCAGCATGATACAAAGGTAATGATACCGACTGAAGTAACCTTTTATATTCCCATATGTATAATGTATATAATTAAGAAGGAAACGACATTCGGACAATTAACCTGACCTCAAATCCACATCCAAATAAGGAAAAGGAGATAAGGCAACTCATTAGTCCTAAGTCGTTTAAGTTTTATTTATATACTTATACATATATGAACATGATATTGATAATTATAATTTGAAATAGTTTATAAAACCTTTTTCAAAGAATTTAACAGTATTCAAAAGAGTTTACATCACTTTAAATATTTAACATGGCTTTAAGTCATTTTGGAAGTATTTGATAATCCTTAAAAGCATAAGGAAATCCTTTGTGTGATTATTATCACATACAATTATTAACACAATTTAGATTGTGTTCAACTTGTATCCCCCCCCCCATTAAAAAGCATTTAAAACCATTAAAAAGGTATATTATAGGGGTATGAACTCACTTGATAAGTGGTGATTTGGGCAGCGCTTCGTTTCTATAAATGATCTTTCTCGAAGAAACCGTGAGTTTTTGATTAAAAATCGGGCTTTATGCAGGCAGCACTTCGACTGGAAAGAGGTTAGCTTCTCGAGAATTTCGGGCTTCGAGGCTTGCTTAGGGTTTTAGACTTGATACCGGGGCTTTGGGGGTTGTAGGTGAGGTTGTGGGAGTGAAAGGGGTGAAAAAGGATGGAAAATGGTGAAAAACGTGTGCCAAATCCGAGAAATCTCGCAGCCCTTATATAGGCTGCGAGGGTTCGGCCGAAGGGGTGAGTCACCGGACACGCGGCAGCAGCAGCGAAGGCCACGAGCCGAAGCTCGGATGCGAGACAGGGAGGCGAGGCGCGTCGGACGCACACTGGACTGCGACTTCGGTCGAATCAGAAGGCGACGCGTGTCGGATCCGGGCGTGGCGGTTACTGTTCATGCGAGATTCGCCGGTATTATCCAATTTTTCACGGTTTTTGAGCCTAAATCTTCCGAAATTCATAACTTTCGCATACGAACTCCGTTTTTGACGTTATTTATATGCACGCGTAGGCAAAATTATACTCTACGACTTTCGTTTAGACTTCGTCGGCTAATTTTGACTTTATTTTTAATATTATTAATTTTAACAGACCGGGACAGGAAAATCCGTTAAAAATTCATAACTTCTTTATCCGACGTCCGTTTTTGTCTGTCTTTTTACCGTTGTACTACTATTGACGAGACCTTCAATTCTCATTTAGGTTGTGTCGGCTAAAAATCACTCGATCTTTATTTCGAGTTTTTAGCTGTATGTTGCTATACTAAAACTTAGAAAAATCATAACTCCCTCATATGAAGTCAGATTTTGACGTTCTTTTTATGAAAGTTCTCGGTTTAACATAATCTACAACTTTTTCAATTAGATTATTATGGCTAAAAAGCCTTTTATCGAAAATTCATTTTTATACTGAACAGTGTTTTGCCGGTTTTGTCGTGGATCTTCGATTGGTCATAACTTCTTCGTTATAACTCGGATTTCAGTGTTATTTATATTTTTGGAAACCTTGTTACAATATCTACCACTTTGTTCATCCCAATTAAGATTATTGAACAATTTATTTTTGACCTAAATTTGACTGGTGTTACAAGGTAGTAGAGAAGGGATGAGGTTGTAGCCCTAAGTCTAGGGTGCCACAAACATATCTGAGAATGAGTTTTAAGGCATGAATATGTTGCTCTCAAGGGTCATGCGTAAATAGATAGATTTGCTGGACTGCATAGGCAAGGTCAAGTCTGGTGAGCGTGAGGTATTACAACCCCTGCTAAGTTGCGGTATAAACAGGGATAAGAGACGAGGGTACCTGACGGATCAAATTTGGATTGTATGTCAGCAGGAGTTCGACATGGGTTACAATTTGTCATGTGAGCTCTCTCGAGAAGTTCCAACGCATATTTGCGTTGACATAGAAAATTTCCTTTATCGTCCCGTGTTGAAGAAATTCCCCAAAAATAAAACAAGTCACCTAGATCCTTCATGGAAAACTCAGAGGCCATGAGAGAGATAATGCAATGTAATATGCCTATAGAGGAAGCAGTGATGATAATGTCATCCACATGTAGAAGTAAGTATGCAACCTCTGACCCCTTGCAAAAAATAAATATAGAGGAATTGCATCGGCTGTGAGAAAATCCCATCTCGGTGATATGAGCAACAAATCGTTGAAACCATGCATGAGGTGCCTGTTTCAGTCCATAAAGAGAGCGTTGTAAGTGGCACACATGATCAGGACAGTGAGGGTCTTGAAATCCAGGAAGATGATGCATGTACACAGTTTCATTCAGTTGACCGTGTAAGAAAGCATTCTTAACATCTAACTGATGAATGGGCCATTCCTAGAAATAGCAAGGCTTAAAACCGTGCGTATGGTGTCTCGTTGAACAACCGGACTAAACGTCTCAACAAAGTTAATACTCGATCGTTGGATTTTTCCATTTGTGACTAAATGCGCTTTGTAGCGCTCAAGATACCCGTCTGCTTTATATTTCTTTCTAAATAACCACATAGAGCGAACAATATTAGCCCCCGGGGGTCTTGGAACCAAGACCCAAGTTCTGTTGTCAATAAGAGCACGAAATTCGTCTTTCATGGCAATGGTCCAGTTTGGTTCTTAAAGAGCTTGGAGGTGTGACCGAGGGAGGTGAGATTTGGTGGTGGTGTGGAGATTTACACGATTTATAGGTTTTGTTATACCGGTAGAGGATCAGGTGATCATAGGGTGAGTAAAAAAAGAGGAGGAGTAGGTGTCGAGATAGAGTCGGGAGTGGGAGGTTGTGATGAGTCCGAGAGATCGAAGACAGCCGAAGGGCTGGTAGGAGGAGATGTGCTAGATGATGGAGGATCGGGTTGATCTTGGGAAGGAGAGGTATTTGAAGGGTGATGATCGGAGGTGAGAAAATCACGGACAATGAGGGAAAGGGTATGAGGAGTTTCAAGGAAATTGTATGAAGGGGTGCAATTTGGTTTCATGGATTGAAAAGAGAACACCTCTTCATTAAATACAACATGGCGGGAAATTATTATTTTTCGTGTGGCTAAGTTGAAGGATCAGAAACCACGATGATTGGATGGATACCCGAGAAAGATGCATGGTGTGGTGCGAGGAGCTAATTTATATGGGGTAGGTATTTGAGGGTAGCATAAACAACCAAAGACATGAATATGAGTGAAGACGAGAGGTTTGTTGAAAAGTTTGGTGTATGGGATTTCATTTTTGATTGATGTAGAAGGAGTGATGTTGAGGAGGCGAGTGGCTATGTGAAGGGCTTCCACCCAAAATGTGGGTTGGAGATGGTCTTGAAAAGGTAATGTGTGAATTATGTTATTGATGGCTCGTATCATGCGTTCTGACTTTCCATTTTGTTGGGAAGTGCGAGGACAAGAGAAACGAAATGTGATCCCTTTTTGGTCAAAGCGGTTATGGAACATAGTGTTATCAAATTCACCGCCATGATCACATTGTAAATTCTGAATATCAGTTTGAAATTGGTTTTTGACAAAAACACGGAAATGTAAGAACTTTCTAAATACATCACTTTTGTTTCGCAATGGATATACCCAAAGAAAATGTGAGTAATGATCCAAAAACAAGACATAAAATTGAATACCACTTGTGCTAAGAATTGGTGATTGCCATAGATCTGAATGAACAATTTCAAAAGGTTTAGAAACGGTAGAAATAGTACTAGAGAAAGGTAATTGAATGTGTTTGCCAAGTTGACAAGCTTGGCAATTAATTGCACTAACAGTTTTATTACATGGAATAAAATGAATAGAAATTAATTTATTGAAGACATGAGCGCTAGGGTGACCGAGACATTGATGCCATAATGAACTGGTGGAAAGAAGGGCAACAAAAGTATGAAGAGATAGAGGAGCAGGGTAAAGATCACAGTGGTCTGTTACACCTAAGCAGGACCTAGAGAGTGCCCACATCCTTCACAGTAATACCACAAGGATCAAATTCAATCGAAACAAGATTATCAGTTGTAAAGCGACATACAAAAATAAGATTTTTAATGATGTTGGGTGTAACAATAACATTATTAAGATGTAAGGGTCGGTGAATGGAATCGATTTTGGAGTAACCAATGTTTTTGACGGGTATGGAATGACCATTTCCAACAAAAATGATTTTTTCGTGACTATTATTTTGGAGTTACCGGTGTTGGATGCAAGGTGATAGGTTGCTCCTGTATCCATGTACCATAAAGAATCTGACCCATCATTTAAGGACATGGTGTTGTAATCTTGAGCAAGGTCAGTTGCTTGATCTTGAGCCATAAGAGGAAACCATTGTTGAAGAGTGACAAGACCTGGTGTGATGGTGGATGTGTGATATGCAACAACATGCGAAGATGGGGGCTGATGGGATGATTGTTGCACTGGTGGAGGTCCAAGAAGCCCATGTGAAGGTTGTTGGGCTGGTTGTCTTTACTGTGGAGATGGGGCTGGTCTAACAGGTCTGTTTATGGTCCATGGCGCTAAGTACATCCAAGTAAAAGGAGCCCATGGTGGTGAATAAGGCCAAGAAAATTGTGTTGTGGTAGAGTATTGATGTCGTTGAAGATCACCACTCCTGCTTCCACGATTTGAGCGATCACCATGACCATGACGACCTCCGTGAGAAAAATTTGTGTTGCTCGAGTTTGTGCTGTTGTACAATACCGTGGGTGGCGAAGAATGGTCCGAGTGAGCCGGTTGTTGAGGGAGTTGGCGGTTAAGGCGATGTTCCTCAGCAATGAGTTTTGATCGAGCTTGAAGTAATGTTGGTAACGGGTCTTTTTGGCAAAGAATCATGGCAATATGGTCATATTTTGGTAAGAGACCGTTGAGTAGGTGAGTGACCAGAGTTCTCTCGGGCACGGGATGATCAATTTTTGCAAGGAGATTGGAGATGGTGGTGATTCTCTCACAATAATCAGCAATCGGCTGATCTCCAAGAGTCATAGAATGTAACTCATTATCTAGTTCATTGGCAGTGGTATCTTTATTGTCACGAAACAGGCTTTCAAGAGAAATCCAAAACGTGTGTGCAGTAGCTCAGGTCTTCAAGATGGTATTCAGAAGAGAATGAGTGAGGGTTGTGTAGATCCATGCTTTTACCACAGAATCAAGTGTGTACCAGTCTTCATCTTTATCAGATGTGGGTTTGGATTTTCTTGTAAGACGATCAATAACACCAAAGGCACGATAGTGTGTAACAAATAATACTCTCCACTCATCATAGTTAATCTGATTAAGGTCCAGTATGAGAGGCACGAATGTTTTAATGTTTGTGAATCCGAATGGTTTTTGATTTTTGGTGGGTGTAGAACTTCTAGATTCAGACATTGTGAAAGTGAAAAGAAAGCTGGAAAAAAGCGAGAGAGAGATGATAGAGGGCCGGCAAATTAGGGTTGCTTGCAGAGGATGGGATCGAGAATTAGGGTAAAAGAAGGATTAAATCGGATACCATATTACAAATGATATTTTCCCATGATTGATATTTGCATTGATATGAAATCTATATACATCACACATAATACAGAAGGCTATAATGGGCTAACCTAACAAATGCATACACGACATATACAAGTACACTAATAGATTTTAGTCCATAGGCCATCTAACTAATGTTTCATCCATGAATTAAGTAGCATGTTTGCTAAACCTTTTTTTTTATAATCAAGGTATTGATAACAGGCAAACACTAGTACTCTAGACATTGTGAGAGTAAGATGGTTCCTTTTCTAAAAAAAAATACCAAGCTTTTATTTCATAACAACCGATTGATTTCATATATATATATATATATATATATATATATATATATATATATATATATATATATATATATATATATACACACACACACACACAGAAAAGTTGAACATATAACCATTATTAATTAACGAACCAATCCAAAGCGTCGGAATTTAAAGCGATCAACGGCAAAATGAAGGGTTGTAAACTTTTACAACGGACGCACATGCACCGGATTATAGCAATACCCACTTCCTTTTTTTAGTTTAATTTTTTAGGCCATGTTTTTTATCGAATATATATATATATATATATATATATATATATATATATATATATATATATATATATATAAAACGTTGTTCATGATTTTTCGTCATCTTTCCATAGAGATTCATATTTATATATAAAAAAATAAACTTAAAAAAAAACCACTTCATTTTTTTTATTTTTCAAAAAATTAAGGTCTATTTTTTATCGAAAAAAATTAATAAATATATCAAAATTCATATTTTTTGGTACTCTTTAAACATAAATTCATATTGATGTTTTAAAAAAAATCGAAATTTCAGTTCAGATTCACATTGTGAGTCTGAATAATAGTAAGTCAGAACATTGTGAATTTTGAAAACCAAATTATATACAGTTCAAATTCACAATGTAAATAAATCAATTTGTTGATTTTACAAAAATAATTTACAAATAATCAAAACGTTAAAATATTATAAAGCTACATGGAAATATATTTCGATTCATATGTAAATTTCACTTAATTTCTGAATGATCAAAGAGTTAAAATAGTAAGTCAGATTCACATTGTGAATGTTAAAATTGAAATATTTACAGTTTAAATTCACAGTGTGAATCTGAACTAATTGAGTTTTTTTTAATCGATGTTAATGTTTATTAATAGTGAACACAAAATTGAGATTTTTAGTATAATTAGTTTTTTAGATAAAAATAAACTTAAATATTGAAGAAAAAAAACAACAAAAGGAATTGATTTTTTTTTGAAAAAAAAAGTTTGTGTTTATAAATCAACATGGATCTCTATAGAAAGAAAACGAAAAATCGTGAACAAAGGTATATTCGGTTTTTTTCAATAAAAAACTTGGCTTAAAAAAATTAAACGAAAAAAAGAGGTGAGTTTTTTGGTAAAGATGTGGGTTTATGGTATAGTCAGTGTATGTGCGTCCAATTTACAAGTGTATATCTATTCCCTTGGCTGTTGACAGTGGCGGAACCAGAAAAAAAGTTTAGGGGTGGCACAAATTTTTTTCTAGTGTAAGGACTAAAGATGCACCTTTTAAACTCAAGGGTAAAACCGAAAAAATTACCCGGTTTTGAATGTTGAATCATTATCTAAGATTAAGTCTTGCTGAAACAAGAACAATGATATACAATAATACAATAAATAGTGTTTAAAGGGGCATGTATAGATGGGTATTAAGTTGGTTATTTCTATAGACTATGCAAGAGAGTAACAATATCAGAGTGATCATTAAGAAAATATATATTGTAGACTCACTCTTATAGAGGCACACTTAGAAATTGAAAAGTAGAGTATAGTTGAATTTGAGAATAATATAGACAAGGTGAACAATAGAGTGTGGCTAAACAAATGTAACCATGCTATATCAAATATAGATGTAATGTACCTGTTTTTGGAGATTTCATTTGATGCAGTTGTTATGTTTCCATTGATCAGATTTCAGTTGCCATCATGGATTGTGTTGGAGCTGCAATGGTCGCCACATCAGTGAGTGTCACTATGTTTGTTCCTCTTTGTTGTTAAAGAATTACAAAAAGGTCCAGAACTCTTGATGCATTAGAGATACAAGGAATGGGGATCAACAAAGAGGACACCATTGATACACTCAACTTACAAGTGAAAAAAGTGACATGCTATTTCAAAAATTACGTGATCGAATACAAGACAAAAACTAATACACTCAGCTTACAAGAGGAGCTGAAACTTTGTGGATGTTTTTCATTGAAGAGTTTTATCAAACACTTGGTGTTCATAAAAAAAAGAGACCACAAATTAAACTATAAAGCACATATGAAAAACCCCTGTAGCAAATCAGAAATCCTCATTGAATATTTAGACAATCAGAAAGAAAGTACGACAACTACCGTGTGTTGGATTGGAATTGAGAAGATAGCACAAAAAAATCAGAAGTTGGATTGCAATTGAATATTGTGTTGGTGACTTCACTGCTCCTCCTTTTCATCCTCACTTCCTATCTTCTTCAAAAAAAATTGGGCTAAGGAGTAGCACAATATGTTATACGCGAGTCGCACTTCATCTTCAAAAAAAATATACATTTTTCGGACAAACTTGAGGGGTAGCCCGTGCTACCCCTGGCTATTAGTTGGTTCCGCCCCTCGCCGTTGATCATTATGATTTTCGATGTTCACGATTGGTTCTTTGTTAATAATGGTTATCTGTTGAATTAAAAATGATTATGTAGGTTTAATTAAAAATGATTTCAAACAATTCTGTTTTGTTTTGTTTTTTATTTTATCTTTATCATTCGTTTATCATTTTTTAAGACACATTTGGAATCAACATGAAACATTACAAGAAACTTGGTTTTGCTACAAAACCATTGCAAAGGTAAATATGGAGAAATTTGCAAATGCATGGGTTGTTTTTGTTTTCTTTGTAAAGAGAAACTTGGTAATGTTGATGAAATCCGGAGATCGTTTGTCGCTAACTGAAACAAATCAACAATAGATAAAATAAATTGAAAAGAGGGGCAATTATGTCATATTAATATCTACTCACTTTCTAGCTTTACATATCAAATAAGATTCCAACTATCTCCACTTGTATCTAAACAATCACCCCGGAGGAGGCTTTATAAATAGGGCTGATTCCAACATTTGTACTCGCATACAAGTTTAATGAACCCAACCTAATCGGGTTCGCATTTACATGCACTACAAGAAAAGTCCTTATTAGTGATCAATTTTTTAGTGACGACCAAAAATTTGGTCACTAACAACATCATTTAGTCACCAAAAATTTAGTCGTCATTGAATTTTGGTAATCCTACAAATTTAATGACCAACTATATGTGGTGGTCACTAAATTGGTCATTATTAAACCGTGAATAAAATTAAAATACTTTTGTTTTATATCATAATAACTATTAGTGACTAAAAAGAATGGTCATGGTGTTAGAGGCCTAGTCACCAAAAATAATGATCATTGTATTGAAGGTTGAGTGACCAAAAATTATGGTCACTAATTACTCTTTGTTATTGTAAATCATATGCGGCCAAACTGTGACGACTCAATAGTGTTCACTGATTTACAAATTGAAAAACAATTAGTGACTATCAATTGTTGTCATTAATTAATATTTTTTATTTTTGAAATTGACTGGAGCTTTAGTTTCTTTCAAACATAATTTTCCAAAGACTCATTTTATTTGACAAGTCCTTATCTAAGTCCCTGTGCACTCATCCACAGCTAACCAAAACATTTTTATCAAACATATTTACTATACTACCCTTCTGAGAACAGGTGCCCTAAAATTATACTTGGGCTCTTTTATCTTTTACTGACTTGAGGAAAAAGTTGAGATGTCCTTTTTCTATTTTCATCGTAAGGATATCCGGAGTGGAGAGAGCTCCACGCGTGAGCTGCTTACGTGGAGGCTCTCTCCACTCGTGAACACCGCCCTCGACTTTGGTGGGTTGGTCGTGGCGTGGCGACGATGACGAAAGAAAACGGAAGAACTGATTGGTTGGTCAACTTTTCGACCATTTGAGCATTTAATAAAAAAATTATGTTTTTTTTTAAATTTAATTTCTCTCTATATATACATCCATTTTACACATATTTTTCAAAACAAAACCCACAAACTCTTTCAAATCAAACACACACATTCATCAAAAAAAAAATGGATGACGATTCTGATGATGAGTTGGTATTACACACACTATTGTCTGCGACACAAGACATGGTCCGTGAAAGTTCACACAACGAGAAGAAGCATAGAAAATGGATCAACCGGGATCGAGAGGCGGCAAATGAACTTTTGGTACGTGATTATTTTGCCCCTGATAGTTTATATGATCTATCAAAATTTGAAGAACGTTTTTGTATTAGTAGAAATTTATTGTTACGTATAGCTAGAGATTCGGAACGTAATTATGAGTTTTTCCAATTAATATGTGATGTTAGAAGTAAA